ACTACTATCTTTCCTAGGGTAGGACCGCTTCTGTAAGCCTAAAGCTAAGCGAGATATTTCCTATCTAAGAAAGGTCGAATCTATTATTCGTCGCGCGAATTTATCGTACCCGTAGATACTAGAAGCTTTTAAAACAGCCTATTCCTAACCTAAAGGTTACAATGATTCTAGATAGACTTACTAATTTAGATTACGATTATTTACTCTTTAAGGATACGGAAATCCGAAGACACCTTATTTAGTAAATCAATAGCTATAATACTTATATATTTAACCGCCTTTATCTAATCTACATAGGCTTAAAATATACTAAATAATAAATATTAGTTACTATGCCGGGAAATCATCCTACTTAAATTAGTAAATAGGATTATATATTATCTTAATTATCTATATATATACGAGAGTAGTATAGTATAGTATTAATATAGGCTCTATATATTCTTATCAACTACCGACTAGTAATAAAAACGTTAGACTTCTAAGGGCAACTTATAAGGTTATATATTATTTATAACCTTAGTCTAGAAACTGTATATTTCCGTCGTTTTTGCTTATTAGGACAAAGACCCTAGTACGTTGACGCTTTTAATATCTACCGCCTATCTTTATACCGTCTCTAGGGCTTACCTTTTAAAAATAGAAGGGTACTTTACTATATAATCCTATATAATACTTAACAACTATAGAACTTAAGTCTTTTAAAGATACTCTACGAATCTAATAAAGCTGCTTTTATAGGATATTGATTTTAGCTTAGCTTAATAGATTTATTCGGTAATAGAAACTAGATAGCTAGCGAACAAATAGAGCAATATACGTCGTAATAGGCTAGCTAGCTAGTAATAAGCGCTTCGGAAGCATTACTAGGCAAAAGTAGCGGTCGATTCCCCGCTAAGCTTATAAGGTCGGTTAAAGGTAAAAATAGATAAGATACGGAGGGTTCTTAACTACTCGAGTATAGGTTAAAATCCGTATATTAGCTAAATAGTACGCCTTTCGATCTAAATATTTATAGTCCTTAAGTTAGCCTTAGGATTTGTAGAAGTATCAAACAATTAGGCAATTCAAACCTCTCGCTCCTAGGTCTAGACAAAGAGACTTTATTAATATCCGCCTCGAGTCGGACTAGCTTTAACTCCTTACTTCTCTCTTATAACGCCGTAGGCGATTCCGGCGCGTTTTATTCCTTCGACGCCTCTAAGGCTTAACTTTTAGCTTATTATTGAGCTTTTCGGTATCAGGGCCGTATTCACTAGGTCGAGGTTAGATCGCGCGATACTTAGGGGGCGTAGTTATAAGTAATAGAGAGAGCGCGAGTAGTACTGCTAAAAAGGGTATAGGCAGAGGTTGTTTGTAGACGAAGCCGTAGTTTTAAGAGCTAGCCTTAAAAGATCTATCGCCTATCCCTATAGGATACCCCGAAGAATATTACGGTGAAGTATATAAGCTTAGGTAACGGTAACTTATGATTAAAAGAGAACTAAGCTCGGGTGCCCCTATTAATACAAAATAGGGGCTCTAATAGACGTACGAGCTTCTCTAAGTATATAGGCGAAGAACAAGCTACTTCTAGGTAGTTCTTAATTATAAACGGTATATATAATAGCGGGTAAGAATAAAAATAATAGTTATATATTACTAGGGAGTAGGATAGGCCTCTATTATTAAGGATTTAGGGGAGGGGGATAGTACTTCTTTCTCGCTCTTACGGTATTATACTAGTAAGGGCTCTAACCATACGCCTTTTTATACGAGTATACGAGATTTTCTATTAGAAGCTAGCGTAGACGAATTAAACTTTAGCCTTACCTAAGATAATTATTCTAAGCTAGCCGCAAATTGTATCTATACCGTAGTCTAAACATTAGCTTATATTATCGGTTGTATAAAGTAGGTCTTCTTAATAGCCGAACCTCGTTACTAGGGCCTACGTAACAATTTTATAGGCCGTTCCGTATTTGTTTCTATATCTAGCGGTATAGTACGCTTATATATAGTAGACGCTTTTATCTAGGGACCTATAGAGTATTATTATTAAATTTTAAGAGCGTATAAAGTACGAAGTTATACTTAGGTATTACTAGAGGTAATATATTATAAGGCCGTTAGTCGATATATTCCCCCTTATATTCTAATCTCTCTTTATCGTCTCCTTTCCCTAATAGTAACCTCGAGGAAACCTATTCCTTAAGTATACTCGATTTTCTAATATTTAGTCTTCCTTAAAGAGATTCTACTTTTAGAATAACCTTTATATAGCTAGAAAGCGGGCTTTAGGATATAAAATCCTAAGACAATCCCGATTTAGGTAATACCTCGATAGTAGTAAATAGGAGTATCTAGCTACGTCCGGAGAAAAATGCTATAGTATTATATCCTCGTGCTTAGTTTCCTAAAGAATCCTATTGCCTTTTTACTAATAATTCTATAAGATTTATCTTATATCCCTCTAGGTCGATCCTAAGCCAATTTCGAATTTTATTAAGGAGAATTCTAGGGGTTAGGTATATTTAGCTATAGAATTCTAGCGAGAGCCCTTCTATCTCCGAATAACCTATTACTAACTATTATTCGTTTACGCGTGACCCGTAGCCTAGCTAGGACGAAGAAGATCTATCTAGTCAACTTCTTTCCGATTCCGACGAACTAAGACACTTAGGTACCTATAACGAGCCTTCTAAATACGTATCTTAGATATTGACTTATACTAGATATTATTAGCTATTACGGAAGGAGTAACGGTATTAATTATAAGCCCTAGACGACGTATACCTTTAAAGACTATATATTTAATAGAATAAGTATATTATTTATCGGAAGTATAAGAACTACTAGTAAAATAGTAGTCCTCCGTGATTCTAATAGTAGTCGAGCTATTTTTGTTAATAGTAATATAGATAAAGATAGGTTAAGAGAGTTTTATAAAAAGAAAAAGTAAGCTTAATAGATAATAAAATTTTACGTAGCTGCTTTTATCCTATTTTGATCTATTTTATAGTTAGCCTATAGTTCTCTAGATATATAACAGAATAAGGGAATTATATCTAAGATCCTTATCAACCTTTAAGACTATATATTTCTAAAGGCAGACTCGTTTTATATATTATAGATCGATAGGGAGTATTCTATTAAGAGGTCGAATATATTGGAATACGTATAGATAGGAGCCTTTAGTAAAACATCGGAATCAAGTAAGCGTTATAAATTGGCTACTTATATAACTCTGTCCAAATTTTAATCTTACGTAGGAGTAAACAAGCTTTAACATTCTTTCTGTTAGTTATATCGATACTAACGAAGCCTAGTGCCTCTAGAAGCCGATTGAAAGGGATTTCTACTCTATGGTTTCCGCGTAATATATAATAGAGAACGTCTCGCGTATCTTTAATAGTTAGTCCGGGTAAATAGTAATAGATCTTAGAAGTATAAACTAGGACGCGTTAGTTCCTTCGAATAAGTATTTTAGATTCTAAATAAGACCTCTAGGCTTAGAGCTCCCCTCTATAGATATAAAATAGCTTTATACGCTTATAAGTCTAATCCTTCGAAGGTAGATCTATAGAAGTTCTTTAAGCGAGCTATATCGCAACGTTTAAGATTCGATAGTATATTTTCTAGGGTTGGATTATTCCTAGTTACAAATTGATCAATTAATAAGAAGTCGGGCTTATTAGGAAAGGCCTTTTTATAATAGGTAGAAAACAGCGGGCTCCTAGTTAAAAGAGACCCTCGCGTAATATTGTCGTTTATAGGGAGGGTGCTAAATCGAAGGGGTATATAGCCGTTTAGCTTATTATATCTTTATATCCTATACAATCTTATATATTAGCAATTAAGTATAGGAATAATATTTACCTTACTTTAAGCTCTAAGGTATAGCTTATCTTATTATAGGCCTTTCTACCCTTAGGAATGGCTTCTATATATTGCTAAATATTTCTTCCTAGCCGTAGAACCTAATAGTACGATTGACGAGGGTATATTTATTAAAATTCTAGAAATAATTTTCTTCCGCCTAAGGTAAGGCTAGCTATAATTTACCGGAGTTAGCCTACGAGTACTAAATAGAGAAATTCTTAGCTATACCCTCGTCTTTTTACTAATTAGTACTATTTATAACCTTATAGATTGTCTTTAAGGACTCTAGATACTAGGTAGTGGTAGATTACCTAATTCGAAGGGGTGATTGTTAATACTCCTACTAAGCAGATATAAATAGGGACTTAGCACCGGGGTACTAGAAGGTTAGAAATATATATTTAAAGGCTAGTAGCTATTATTGTTTACTATAGTCTAAAGAATCGTAGTTAAGACGTTTCGGGGCAGACTATAAATAAAGAGAGTCGGTCTTATTAGGCCGGAGATTAAGGACGTAGCGTAAATAGGCGGGGGTTATATATATTATAAAGGGTAATGACCCTCCTCCCTTATATATAAGAGCCTTTTACGCTTCGCCGTATTAGGCGGGGAAACTTATGATATATACTATCGCCCTAACTAGCTAGCGAGTTCTAGGGCGCTTATTGATTAATATTCTTATATAGGTATTTAGGAAGAATCTATAAAAAAGCTAGGCGCTTTTATAAGGATGTTTATATAAGGGGTAGGTAGTATTAGCTACTAAGATACTTCGCTATAGCGACTATAGAGTATAAGTAGGATACGTCTATCTCGATATAAGCGTAGTCAAAAAATAAAAATTACTATCTAATTGAAATATATTATAATATTAATATCCGTACGCCGAGGTATATTACTCCTACTCTAAAACTTAGAATATATAAAGAGAGATCCTTATATAAGTTACTTGCCCCTTTATTTATATATATACCTACTTAGTCCTCCCCCTCTATATTTATTATAGAAAAGGCGGTATTAATATAGTAAGGGTAAGTATATTCGCTTCTTTTCCTATACTAAGATTGATTATATAGATTCCCGAAGCCTACCTTAAGATATTAGCCCGAATATTATTAATAGCTTTACAAATTTAGTAGCTAGGTACCCCGGATCTAAAAGACGCAATTGAACAGTATCACAATCTCGATCCTAGGATTATATTACTAGTGCTAGCCTATCAACGTCTTAGGAAGAATAGATATAGAAAGGGACGGGTCCCTCTAACCTAGAATAGCATTTTAAATCGACTTATATAAGATATAGTAGAAGACCGTACCGAAGACTCGCTTAAAATATTTGCCCTTCTTACCTAGTACTTCAACGGATATACTTTTACTATTAGATTGAATGAACTAACCTAAATACTACTCTATATTTGTCGTATAACAAAACAAACTATTACCCTAATAATAGCATTCTCTATTCTGCTTCTCTATTACGTCGCCTAATCCGAGTTTTGATATAAGTATTAGAATAACTGTTAATACGTAACCTAGGTCTGCTTATACTACCTCTAGTTATAAACGTTCCTAAAAAAGTTATATTTCTTTCCTTATATATCTAGATATACGAGATTCATATACTAATACAAAAACGACTAACTAAAGAAAGTAAATATATACAAGCGGTATAAGTTTGCTATATTAGCTGTCCCTAGAACTTAAAGTATATAGATAATAAAATAATTATACCTCTATATAGAAGCCGTATTAATACTATAAGCTCGCTTAAATCTATATATTAATTCTTAAATTTCCTATTAATCGAGTAAAATTCTAAATATTCCTTAAGAATTAGGCAATTATAAAGGGCGAAATATCAAGTATAAATCTTTAAGTAAACTTATCCGAGAGACCCTTAGCCGGAAATCAGAAAAAGAGAACTTAATCCTCTACGCTCTAATAACTAAATTAGAGTCGACGATAGGCTAAAATACCTCTAGTATAGCTCTTTCGGCGAGGATAGACTCCTCTATATCCCCGGTTATTACGGTATAGCCGCGTATATAATAGAATATATTACAACGAATAAGTACTTCTTATTTAACTACTAGAGTAATATAAATAAGACGACCTATATTAGTTGCCTTCGGCCACTTATCTTAAAGATAATCATATAACAATTACCGAAAAAGCTAACCTAATTTACCGTTTATTATATAGTAGGTCGAATTTTCTATTATAACTAGGTAAATATAGGTAGGTAAGAGTACGTCGGTTTAAAGTTAACTATATCTCTCTCTATATACTACTAGGATACTAAGGTAAGGTATTATAGAATACCCTCTTAGATCGTTTAAGACTATAGCTTTAGGCCTATTAGTATCGATATTAACCGGATAATAAGTCTACTTACTATAAGAGAAATGTTAAAAGGGAAGTCGGAAGTCTATTGTAGGTAGCTAAAATAGTAGTAATGAAAGGAAGGGACCGAACTATATAAGGGACTTAAAGAACCGAAGTTTAGGGAACGTACTTATATAAATAAGATATCCCTTCTAAGCAGTACCTACTCTTAGGAACTTTAAGAATTCCTATATATAGGGACCCTATACCCTAGTATACAAAGTTATTTTTTAATAATTTATTATATAGGTTTTCATTGCCTTACCGTACGCTATATTTAAGGGGTAGCCTCAAAATAGCGCTAAACCTATATAATAGATAAAATTATCCCTATAAGTAAGATTAGTATATAGCCCTTATTAGTTCTTAGACACTTAGTTAGTTATCTAATAGAAGGTATATATAATCGGACTCTACAATAGCCCTATTAATCCGCTATAGGCGAACGTAGATATTATAGTATAAAAGGCTAGAGGCGTTCCCGCTACGTAATAGCGCTAAGTCTACGCTACTTTTTAGTAAGATAGAAATCCCAAGTTTTTAAAAGGGTTTTATATTTATATTAGGGAAGTAGGCCGAAATACTTATTTTAATAGGCTAAGACGGCCTCGAAGATACTACTATTAGAAGATCTATATTACGTCCGGGAAATACTCTCTCCTTATTCGTCTAGATTTTAGATCAAAGGTCCCGGGAGTATCTCGAGTATAATATAAATACTCGACCGGTCTACCTTCCCGGAAGTATACTTCAATATTTTAACAAAATATATTCTAGATACCTACTATAATATCGTTAGATAAGGACTTCTATATAAGGCAATCAATTCTAAGCTTCGCTACAGTTATATACTAATTTATAAAGTTTCCTTTCCTAAGAACTAGTCTCCGAGCCGCCGAAACGACTTTAATTGTTTAATAAGTATAGTTTTTAGGTATAAGAGAGGTCAAACGAGTAATAAAGCGGTAGTATAAACCTAATACTAGAACTATATCCCTAATATTCACCTACTAAGCCCTTAGAAAATATCGCTACTTACTCTTAGGGAAATATAGAGCCTTAGCTAAGAACAATATACTAAGGAACTATACGTACCGTATAGTAAGTAAGCTCACTATATATGATTTAGCTATACTTTCCCTTCTCGCCTAGCATTTTGATTCGAAAATAGTACCTCTCCCCCGGAGGCTTCTTATATTCTTCGCCGACCCTTATAAGCAATTTGATATAATATACCGATCTATTTACCGTAGCTATACGAAAATATATATACCGGATACGCTAGTAAACTTCGAGGGAAGCTTAAGGAAATTATTAGGGTTATTAGAACGGGACGTGATTAGAGGCGACGTAGTCTTATTTACCTAGATTTAACCCTCTATTAAGACCTTACTATATTATACTAGTTAATAAGAAATAAAAGATATAGTAGATATACGCTAAGCTTTAATAAAATCACCTACCTTAACACTAACTTCAATTACTAAATATTATACTATACTTCTAACTACTTTCCTTTACTATTCTAATCTATACCTATCAAAGTTTGTTATAGGATATACGAGCTAAAATCGAGGTTAGACTTTTTCTGCCGTTACCTATTATACTATTAGTTTGTTATCCGTCGACGAGTTTCCTCTATAATATAATTATCTTACTTAATAGGATCTATATCTTAATTACGGCTAATAGTATTATATCGGTTACTTCTCTTCCTAGGACTGTTTTATTATCAGCCTCAATATATAGGGCTTATATTACGTAAAAAGACTTACGATAATTGTTAAGTACGAACTTAACAGAGAAATATTTAAGGTAAGAGCGGCGTCCTAGGCGTCCTAGATTATCTTCTAAGGGAAGATCTCCTTTATTTATCGGGAATCTAATAGCAACCCGGTAGTATTAAAAGAATTCGGGAAAATCTTTCTTCGTGATTAGACTAAGACCTCTATAGATATCGTCCTCTTTATTCTCTTTATCTCCTTCTCCTTCCTTTCGATAATAACGGTAGTACGTAGTTAGATCTAGAAAGAGTTAAAAGCATCGTAGATAAATAAATTTTAAGCCTATTTTTACTAGAGCTCGAAGTAAGATTGCGAGCTACCTTTTTACGTTAGATATCTTAAAGCAAAGTGATAGAAGCAACTAGGAAATAGAAGGCTAACAATTTAACAAAAGTCTACTCTTTATAGGCGAGGGCCGGCTCGCTAGCGTATCTTTATAGATCTAAGCACATTAGTAAATATACTTATCGAATAGAACTAGCAATAGGGATACGAGATAGTACTCCTACAAAATTCTAATTAAGATATTAATACGAAAACGTTTAGAGTGATATAGCCTCGACTGATTATAGCCTTTAGTTTAATTTTGTTCTAATATAGGTACTAGTTTATAGCTACTCTTATAACCTCGTATATTAAATGTCTAAGTATTTTACTAGCTATATAATTTAAGTTAGCTTTATAATAATACTATCTAGGATATAAAGCGGAGCGGATCTAGGACAGTCTATAGTCTTTAAGTAAGAGCTTGAATTTAGAAGGCTCGGTTATAGGCCGTGTTCTACTAGGAGATCCTATCTAATAGAAGATCTGATTATCTCCGTCCGTGAAACCCAGTAGTATTCGAACCACAATTTATTAAGAATATAAGGTGATCCGATAATCTTCTCCTTACTCCTACTTTCGTATTAAACGATATAATACGTCTCTAGATCTTCGCCGTCTTCTAGTATAACTTCGTCGAGTATATATAACGGACGAGACTTCGAGTCTAGAATTTCGGCAGAAATAGATTTATCGGAAGGGCTAAGATTTATCCTCGGAGGCTAATAGCTCTCTTCTATATTAATCGTTAATAGATTGCCCGTTCGATTTACTAAAGGAGTATACAAATCTTAAGAGTTTTCCCGTGATTGTTTCCTTATTACCCCGCAGTATCGAAAGAGCCCGAAGATACTAGACCAAAGGGTATTTAGTATACCTATATTTCGTATAAGGTCTTTTGTTAGAGTCACGTGACGGCCATGTGGGGCCGCAGGTGATCCTGACCCATAGAACTCAGGATATTGTTAGACAGTAGCTAGTTTTTCTTCTCTTCTTTTCTTTCTCTCTAGAGTCTACAATATTAATCCCTTAAGGTTAACATTCATTCCTATATAGCCTATATTCCATCTAATAGGTTATAAGCCCTTACTCGTACGACTCCGAGTATCTTTTCGTTAAAATTTTCAACTAATTAGAGTTTTCATTTTTCTTTTATAGGACGCGTTTTTTCGGCCCGTTCTGTATCTCTATATTTCGACTATCAATTCTATTATTGATTTTTATCGACGATCTTATCGTAAGTTAATATTTTCATTATTCTAATTATCTAGGAAGCTTCGTTTTCCGTAGTTACCTTATTAACGCGATAGACGGTACCGCTTCGCGTATTTCTTTCGATCGAGACCGAAGACGGATACTCGATATATAGTTAAAATAATTAGTTCCTACGATAATAACGATAACGGAGGAGAAGGTTCCTCGCGTTCTCTCCCTACTTCTCGCTAGTAATACAATCTTATTTCTAATAGTTAGCAATAGTAATAACGTGGTCCTATTAGACGGATACGTATATAGGGGACTAATCTTCTTAAAGTAAAGGAGATTAAGCTTAATAAGGGTATTAAATTAGCTTTTAATAATAGTAATTTAGTAAGATAGAAACGATAGATTATTAATAGATTAAGTATAGCGCGAATTAATTAGGTTACTAACTATAATCTACCTCGTCCTACCGAATTCGATCCTAATTATAATCTATAGAGATACTAGTCGAAGATTTCTAGTAGATAGATTAAAGGTCTTCTAGATTAGAAGATTATTATAACTCTTAAAGGATATATAAATAGTTTCCCGATTTACGCCGATTATATACTATATAAAGTCGAGTCTATTATTTATAGTATTAGTATTATTAATAACGTAAGACGTAAGGTAATTAAATTCGACGAGATAAAGAGATTATACTTTAGTTCTACTAAGGACTATATTAATACCTACTAGATCTAATATAACTAGCTTAGTACGTATAAAATCGAACCTTACCTATTCGGAGCGTTATTTATAATACTTCGATAACTAGAAGGTAAACTTAAATTAGTAATATTTACTTATAAGACTTTAAAAGATAAGATACTAGATTCCGTTATAAAGGAGGTTTTTAGTAATATATATAAGATATTAACGATTAAAGTATACGATATTCCTACTTCGTTATCGTTCGACCTAGAAGCTTCTACTAACGTCGCTTAGAATAATAACAATTAACGCGGAGGTAGAATAAGAGGTCGAGGCCGTAGTAATAAAGATTATAGAGGTAGTTTATATAACTCTAGATCGGATAATAATAATAAGGATAATTAAAATAATTAGAAGGAATAGTATTAAGATACGAAGAATACGCCGCCTAAGGGTAAGTCGATTAATAAATAGGCGGAATAGCAGCGTAATTAATAGCTATAGTATATAAATAGTTCTAAATATACCTATTATAGATATACTAGATATCCTACTAAGATATATTTCTACCTAATAGAGGATCTACCTATAGAGGGATAGAAGCCGCGTAGTAATACTTAGTGCTATATAACTATACGTAAGGGAAAAGGTAAGGCTAGTATTACTCGTACTAATATAGCTCGTTCTTCGGAGGATAACTAGATAATTGATAGTAGTACTTCTAAAACGATTACTAGATATCGTAAGGACTTCTACGAATACTTAACTTATAAGCCTAATAAGGAGCTATATAGCTATATAAATGCTAATAGTAAGGTCTAATTAGTAATTAGTTATAGTAAGGCGCCGATTTAAATTAAGAATTCGGAAGGTAAGATTAAGATAATTCTTATTAATACCTATTATAATATAGTAACTACCGATCGTCTGCTTTTATCTAATACTCTTAAAGCGGATTACGGTATCTACTATAATCTAATTGTTTCGAAACTAGTTTATAAGAATAGGAAGGAAGTTAGATTAATAAAACGGTTTAATAGTTTACCCTAGATTAATAGCCTACTCTATTAAGGAGTGATTCTAGAGAAGATATAACAATCTTCTGTTTAAACAACTTACTTCTATAAACCGAATTCTTCTAATTTAGACTCGGATTTAGATAAAGAGTTTAATCGAATTAATAAGTCTATTTCGACTTACGAAATTTATCGTTAATTTAGTTATATTAGAAGACCGTATATTAAAGCTTCTCTTTCGGATACTATTCTTCTAGAGGAAGGAGACTAGGTTAAACTTTATAATTTTAATTGCGAAGCTTATTAATTTAGTAAAGCTAAGAAGTAGATTTCTCGGGATATATAATAACGTATAGAGAAGCTAGGTATAAAGTTTTATACGGATATATAAACTATAAACCTACCTAGATCTTATAGTAAACGTTATTAGGTACTAATTGTCGATAACTATACTCGATATACCGAAGGACTATACTTTCGAATTAAGGAGGAGATTGTACCTTATATAATTACTTTCTATAAGAGATAGAAGATTCTTCGTAGACGTTATCTAGCTTTCTAGCGGATTAACGGAGGAATTGAATTCTATAAGTTCTAGATATAGGTAGAGGAAGAAGGTATAGTTTTTAAAATTACGCCTACCTATATACCTAAACCGAATAGCGTTACGGAGCGTATAGGTAGTTATATTAACTAGATTTAACGTATAATAAATATAGACGCTAAGCTTCCTAAATAGCTTTAGCCTTACCGAGTAGATACTATAATTTATATTTATAATCGTTTAGTTAATCCGAAGATTACGAGGATACCGATTATCTCCTAGTAGGAGGGCCTTAGTCTTAGTAAGACGAGGATTAATTTAAAATATCTTTATATATAAGGTACTATCGTGTTTATCTATATTCCGAGGGAGATATATATTTAATTAGAGAAATTAGCTACTCGTATATTTAGAGGATACCTAGTTAGTTATAAAGGTAAGAATAGTTATATCTTTAAGGTATAGAATCCTACTTCGAAGGAGATTATTTGTTTATAGGACGTTACTTTTCCTAATAAACTAGATCTTAACTCTTCTCGATCGGATAACGATCTAAAAGGGGGTATTTTAGCTAGAAAGCTAGTACCTAAGGATCCTAATTTAGATAATAACTCTAAGGCACTTTATAAAGAAGGTAGTCTATATATTCTAGATTTTATAATTAAGAAAGGTAAATAACCTTACGAAGGTCCGAAGGTTATAATTAGACTAAAGCTAGTTCTATAGGTTTCTATTACTAGTAGATAGCTAGAGGTAGTAATTTAGGTTTTAAGACCTATAATTTAATAGAAGTAAGCTTCTATA